CATCTATAGGTTTATTATCCATCCATGCTTAGAATATTGATGCCACATATGGTTTAGTGCGTCTGCTATATATTAAGATTTTCATAAAATCCAAAAAAGGTTCGGTCCTGACCTGGTGTTTGGGTTTCAGTCACTTTCAGACCGCCGTAAAGTTGCTTCCATGTTTCTTTTCTATGAATACTGTAGCAAATGAGTCGACTTCAACAGTGTAAGGGACGCAACTCTTTCCGTCTGAAAATGTCTGACACGCTGCAACGCAAAACGATGTACACCAAGCACAGGTGTAATGTTCATCTGCCAATGTCTCCAAGCAACCTGCTTTTATGGAGCCCAGACACACCTCATTAGCATGTTTGTAACGCGACTTTGCGTGACTGTACGAGACCGTGTATATTAAAAGTCACGGACGCCATCTTGGATCTTTTCTTTCCTTTCTCAACCCACAGGCCAGGCAGATACGAGAGCATTTGTGAGGTAGGCCGTTTCTATTTTCCCCACAAATACTTTTATGGTAATTGTTCAGATGAGTTCTTCACTATGATACCTAGACTTAAGCGCAGTACCAGATTGGCAACTATGTTTCATCAATTTACAGTTGAATTGGCTATATGTAACCGTAAGTTCTATGCTAACAGTTTCTTCTATTGCACTTCTCGTTTGTGGAGCTCTCTTTCGTCCCCATACTTTCCAGTTGAATTTGATCTTCAAAAAGTTAAATGCAATAGTTATCTATTGTTTTCCTGATTACTCTTCTATTGTTCTCGTTCCTTATTAATGTTTCTCTTTTCTAATTCTTTCAAAACCAAGTAACTTAGTGGCTTTATTGCCTAGCATGGTTTACATTCGATTAAAAAATAATAATAATAACTAAGTTAATGATTTTGAAACAGACAGGGACACATGACACAGTGGATAAAAGCATTGGTTGATTGATCCTGAAAACTGACTTGACCAAAAGAGTCGTGAGTTCAGTCCCTGGTCTCAGCAGAGAGAACAAAAACTCGGACGCGAAGAGAACAAAAACTTATCTAGACAAATTAACTAAAACTAAGATATTCAAAGGAATAAATAAAGGGTTCGGTTCGAAATTTCAACAAATATCACCTGAAGATGGTCGGAGCGTACAACGGCTGTTAACGTCCTGATTCTGACAATAAAGATAAGGACAACAGTCCGAACAATGTACACAGTTACATTACCTTATCTCAGAAATATAGACACACAGGGATGATTATTCATTTTTTGGAGAAAAATCCATCCGAGAACCTTTATTGCAATCACACTTTTTATTAAATATTCAGTAAATTTCGTCTCGCCCTTTCATTTCGACTGTGAGCATCCCCGGATAGACATAGAGCTTCATTTGAATATTTAAGAAAAGTAGTAACTGGAAAATATTTGAATAGAAAATCGAAAGTAACAGTGAAACATTTGATACCAAGATAATGTATACGTGGAAGTAAACTAAAGAGGGAGAAATAAATGTCGGCTGAAAATAGAATCCTTCCAATAAATTTGTTTCGCAGAAGAAAAAAAAACTATAAAAGAAAGCAAGTCAAGCTTAATGAATGTAGATGAAAATACTTAGAGACATATTGGTATAAAAATTAAAATAATGTGATTGTATCATCGATGATAAATATGAATAAGCTCTAAATAGAAAACAGTTGATGACTGGCAGATTTATACAGAAATAAAAGCTATTAAATCTAAAATATTGAAACAAAATATTAAGAAGAGCAATATAGGTGGATGGTTATGAAAGAGACATTAAAACGCTTAGGAAATAAATGCTATGAAAGTACGACAAAGCAAAAATGGGTCATAAGAAAATAAATTCTTAATAAGAGCATTAAATGAGAAAAAAAAAACGAGTGAAAAACAATTTGAAACGAGTAATATTTAATATTCAGTATATACGTCGGTATCCGTGGAGTCTACACCTACGACCTCAACACGCTGTTGTAGTTTCTGTAGCAGGTAGGTTTTACGAAGTGGAGTTGCTAGCCCCATGCCCAACACTTAACACCTGTAAGAGAGAGTTGAAAGTTAGATGCCATATAATGAGGAAAGAGGGATTAGAAAGTTTAACACTCACGGGACATAATTAGAGCAAGAGGGACAGAGGAAAGCAGCAAATAGCTAGTGTAAATGTATAGCAAAACAGGGGTTAGAACAGATAGCAAAAAGACGAAAAGAACTACAACGGACTAGAAATTGTGGAGAGCCATGATCGCCCACACGGCACATAGAAGAAAATTTATAATACATCGCTGAAAACTAAATGAAAACGATGCTCAAGTCAAAAAGGAAATTAATTTGGCTATTTGAAACCGGGATATTTTTGTGTCATGTCATATTGGTTAAATATCTCGTGTTACGAATGCAGATAGCCCAAACACGCATACACGCATATAGAGGTCACGTGGGAGTCTCGAGTCAATTTGGGGGAAGTAGGTCAAGAGGTTGACTGACCCAATTACCCGTAACAACAGACGTCTAGACAGAATCTAGACAGGGGACTGATATAAGATCATGAAGCAGCAGGAACTGGAATTCGCGCCAAAATGCAGGATACGTGGGAATTAGAAAATTACTTGGAAGTCAGTTGCTGTCTTGTCTTTGAAGGAGCAAGACTCGAAATCGAAGCGCTGATAACTTATGAACGGAAAGATGAGACTCATTTTGGTAATGATGGAACTTGTCCAATTCATCCTAAGCAACTCCGGATAAGAAATATAAGGATGTATATTTCTGTTCGTCAACTCTAGATTGAAGAAGATAAATCGAGTTATTTATCACAGAAGACGCAAGGAAATTTGTACGCTAAGAATACAGCCTGTGTTTGAAAGAAAAAAAAGAGGAAACGTGAGAGAAAAGAAGAAAGTATATATCTCTGTTGCAGCCGGACCGTCTTTGAAATTGAATTTGTGTAAAGAAAAGAAAGAAAAGAGGAAACGTGAGAGAGAAAAGAAAGGACAATGAGTAAGAGAGAGAACTGAATATAATGATAAGTAACTATATATTTTGGACCCGTGTTAGAAAGATACACATGAATCCATAAATTTTATATTCTCACAAACACCTTTCCACATGTCAAAATAGTAATGTATAAATCCTATCCCATCTCTTTTTTTTTTTTTTTTTTTTTTTGGTTATGCGTTGATTTCTGCATTTGTAGTTATTCATACTTATTTTTTTTATCCGTTCGGGTTCAGTCGAATCCACTTGGATTTGGGCATATCTTGGTATCCTAACATAAGTCTTGAGGTTCTGGTCGTCTGATGCTTTACTCATGCTTATATTTTTCTTTTATTGTAATATCTTGTGTATATGTATATATTAAAATTCTTATACCAAAATTTATTACGCTTTATCGTTCATCCTTGAATTGTGGATCAGTATATGTGTTGAAACCGAAGCGAACCTGGGAAAAGACTACTGTTTGATTATCTCAATCGGACAGTGCTCTTTAAAATATTTTGTTTACTAATTGTTCATTTGTCACGATCTGGGAGAGATAGCCCGTATCTCTCCATAGACGTGATAATGTATATATCTCCTGGTCGGCGTATGATTGCGTTATAAATTATTCGTCGAGTAGGGCATATGACACTCGTCAGTAGGCATTATAGTTTATGCTGTCTTAATTACTATACTTAGATTGTCTTATAATGGCTGAAATATTATGAATATAAAAAACAAGATGAACACGCTGATCCAAATAGAAAAGCATACTAGGTTGAGTCAAATGTTCTTTCATATTGCAAGTCATGAATTAAAATAGTTCAAAGAAATTACTTACGAAAAGCGTTTATTCAGCCTTTTGATGAATATCCCATCATAATCTGTTGTTTGTTGCCAGCATTGTACTCAATGCCACTTTTCTACCATTTGGTTGGTTTAGAGTTAAAAAAAAGAAACCCCTGTACCCATTTTCAACTTCATCGACATTGTTGAACCACCATCCGAGCAGGAAATAAGCCGTGGATTGGAATAGCTTGTAATCTGATTGGCTGAGACAGATCTCCCTGCCTCTGAGGTTCCTCAAGTTCGCGATTGGTCATATTGGCAATATGTCATGCTGCATGCGTTTTTGATTGGCCAATGCCAGGTAGCGGACTTTCATCTCATCATATACCCGCTGCAGTAGTTGAGCATAAAGGTCAGCGTTCACAGCATGGACAAACGTTCACAGCTTGGACAAACGCACAGAGGAAATTCGGAATTCTGCCAAACACACAATAAACCGCCCTTGTTTGACAACCGATTCTTAAGCCTGGCCGAAACGGAGCCACTGATTCCTCTTAGCAAGATTACGAAAATAGATTCATTTTTCATCCTCAGTTACAATTCGACGCCAAAATCGGGCATCTTGAAGATTTACCGACAGTTGTTGGCAATTGTTCACACGTCGTTGAACCTGGTCATTGGACAGTTCATGAAGAAAATTTCTGGGCAGCGTCTGGTCAAAAGACCGAACTAATGGTTGGGGGGGGGCGATTAATGGTGTTTTATAAGGACCAAATTCTACCAGCGTACGAGTGCTTGTGCTTGGCTCGCTGACCTTAGTTTTTCTTCGTGGCTGGTGTCATCTTCCTTGAAATGTTTGAATCAGTTTTAAGCAACACATTCATTGACAATTCATGGGCCTTCCACATCATTAATTTCTTTTGCCGCTGCCCTTACACCCTGTACTTTTTTTTATAGGCAGCGTAAAATGTCTCTGATTGCAATTTTTATAACCACTCATTAACAAAGCTGTAAAATAAAGAATAAACAATTACTGTTTATATGTTATATCTGAAAATAAGAATTCAGCAACGATTAGATAACAATCTATATCAAATTAAGAATATGACATGGAGATAAAAATTACCGAAAATCAATAATGGAAACCCGAATAATTCTTAATTCAATCTGGTATGATAATACATTTCATTTATTAGTACAATGCCACGCCCGTTTTATTCGTCACCAACCTTTCTAAGATATATGGTTTACGGCCACATCACGTTGAAACACCAGTTTCCGTAGAGTCTCCAAAGTTAAGCAATGTCAAACCTGGTCAGTAATTAGATGGGTGACCGCTTGGGAATACCACGTGTTCTAAGCTTGGATTTGAGGGTAGAGTAATGGATAATGATTCAGAATTGTTAATCGGGGAGCTGAGTTCCAATTCCATTTGGTTTAGTTATATTCACTTCTGCGTGGTACCCTTGAGAGGGTTAAGAATTGTTATGGGATCTTACCCATAATAATGGACTACTTAATAATATACTGCACCTCAGTATGCAAGGAGCCAGTAGTTCAAGTCGAGTCAAGAGTCGAGTCAGAGGCTGTCCGAAACAGAGTCGCGTTCAGACAATTACTGCAAGACATTGGAATAGAGATACTGGTCGAGACTACATTGTTCTCTCTACTAAACCTGATTGTTCATACTAACACTTCTACTTCTCTGTATATATTCCTGTTTGTAATATAGCTGTGTTATTCCATATCCGTGTTCGAGTTCTTCTTTATTGGTTCTACCTTGGACTATCACCGTGGTACAAAGAACCGGAGCATAAAAGAATTCAACTCTTCTCCCCCAGCTATGGATTAATTAGTAAGTCTTGTATCACTAACCCGTTATTATCTTCAAAAATAAAATAAAAATGACGTACAAAATATTTAGATTTCGACATTAAATAACCCAGAGAAGTTGATATGCCGCTAAACAAAAACAACCAGCTAACCAATTTCTCAGTTATGCCTGATGTCCAGTGAACAGTTTGAATTTCCTTCTTCAGTGCTCTTTTTTCTCTACTTGTCTAGGTAGCGCCCACTTTTTAAAAGAATGAACACTGAGAAAACTATATTAGAATACCATTATTTTTAGACCCAATAAAAGACTGTTTTAAACTACTGAAACCACAAACACACTGACAAATAAAGAAAGCCATAAAAAACGCACACTAGAACATCCATATTGTGATCTTCCGTGAATTCATTGGTTACTATATACATCTGAAGAAGGCTCAGAGACGATAGATCGAAACGTTTTTCAAGCAAAATCATGAAACCGAGATATGCGTACCCTGCGTACCCTGGGGTTATGCAAGAGGAACTTTGTGGGTACGCGATCATATATCTTGCGCTCTAGGCACATCTCATATTAATACAATGAATGAAAGTAATACATTACTAGAAAAAGAGGATGCCAATGAAATCATTGAATTAGCTTAGATGTATTTCGATTACCACTGGATCAGTTAGGTTTGTTTTTCCTTGTTATATGTAAATTTGATTTCAACTCATTTCAGACACTTTTCAGATGAATTCGTATACTTTTTGTATGAGTGGATGGCCAATTTTCTTGCTTTAAAATCACTATCCAATCAATTTGCAGGTCGTGTATGGACGCCGTAACTTCACATTCCCGCGTAGTTTGCGGCGTTCACTTTCCTACAAAAAGCCCTTGAAAAAGACGATCACGTATTTCCACGCTAACGAGTGACACCTACGTGGGTTTAGAAAACCAGCGTTTTCCTTCTCGTAGGTTGGCTGGTAACCGGTGGGGAGGAGCTCAGTCTGTCCTACTATTTAGCCAATAGCAGGATTCATACTTTTCGTAAAGGCACTTGCGTATAAATGAATGTAATGAACCTGAGGGTGAATTCGAACTCATCTCGTTCTGAATCGTAATCCATTACACCACCCACACATCTTGTATGACTCCTTAGGACCCATTTAATTAAAAAGAAAGGAAAATCTATTCGCTTCAACTGGGGCAAAAAAGATACTCACAAACACAAGATATTTATAATATAATTCTTTTATTATATTTTGCGTAGAATAAGGCTTTACTTTCTTGAAAAGTAATCACAAGAACTTAAGTTCAATATTTTAATATTTTCTAAGAGGATTTCTTACGAACAACAATGTATTAGAATGTTTTGTTGATCTACTTATGGATTCTCTGTCTTATATTCCAAATGCACTTTGTATGTATTAATGTGTATTTACATACGTGTACGTGATGAAGTTTCTGGTGTGTATTTCAGTGTTTAGTTGTGTAAATTCCCGTACTGAAAAATTCTCAGCCTGACCAAAATATCGTTTCCTTGGCAAAAAAATATGTCTAATCATTTGTTAAGATTTAAGAAAATCTGTCTGTTAGAAACTTACAAACAAAATTTGTATATATATATATATATATATATATATATATATATATATATATATATATATGATTTAAAATGTAAGAAACACCAGATATTTATATATATATATATATATATATATATATATATTTGTCCAACCACTTAAATATTAAAATAATATTAAAAATAGACAGTTAATAATATTATATGAAAAGATTACTTAACTTTAAAATATCAATTTTATCCCGACATACGTGAACACGCACGTGTACAAAACGGAGTGCCAAAAACGAAAAAATTGTAAATACCTTTTAAGACCTTAACTCCTGAAGGCTGGAAATTATATCAAGTAACATCAATGTCGGATAAAATTAATAATTAAAAGTTCAGTAATCTATATATATATATATATATATATATATATATATATATAAGTGAACATTGAAGTTAACACTCAAAGGCGACAGGTTGTTTCATGTTAGACGCAATCCTCAGGCCGCCAGTGTTTGGTTTTTTTTGTCTATATATGGGTCAGTGGTGCATTGTGGGTAATCTATTCTCGCGGTTACTTTGGCGGGAATGGTTTATTTATTTGTTTATTTATTTTACTTATTTAATTTATTTTACTTGATTTTTATTTTCATTTTTTATTTTATATATTTATTTATTCTTTTCGGTTTTTGATGTTTTGTTAACGTAGTAAAAAATTGAGTGGGGGATTTGCTTAGGTCGCTAATCTAATAGTTTGTTTCTGTCTGGGATGATAATTAAAGCTTTTTATTCGTTCAACTTTTAGATTGCTTGCCGTAGTCTATTCTGTTATTTTGGCAGGGGACAGTTTTTAATTTGTATATTATTTATTTACTGGGATTGATTATTTTTTCCAGTTTTTGCTCATCTATGTTTATTATTATTAGTTCTAACGGTTATTTTAGCGGGAGCGATGGGTTAATTTGTTCATTTATTTAGTTAATTTTTATTTGTTTTTTCTTATTTAGTTACTTAATTTTTGATTTTGTATATTTTTATTTACTCTATTCGGTTTTCGGTTTTTGAGTAACGTAGTAATGTTTTTTATCGTTATATAGCAATTTTCACGTCCAATTTTTGTATTACTTTTTATATTCTATTCTACTGCTTATTTTGGCGGGATTGGTTTGTTAATTTGTTTATTATTTACTTTATTTATTTATTTGGGTTGATTATTTTTACTTGTTTTTTGTGTATTTTCTTTTATTTTTATTTATTCTATTTCGACTATTCTAATGGGAGTGGTTTGTTAATCTGTTTATTATTTTTTGGGTTAATTTATTTTGCCTGTTTTTTATATTATTTCGTTTATTTGTTTATTCATTTCAATTTTCGATTTTTAAATAACGTAGTAAAAATTTGTTTTCATGTCTGCATTTTGAGATGAGCTCATATCGTTTATTTAGTAATTTCTTTTGGTCTGGGAAGGTAATAATAGCTGTTTTTTCCTCGAAGCAAAGTTTGCAGGTATTTTATTGATTGTTGTATGCTGGTGATCTTTTCCATATTTTCCTTGATATTTTGGTGTGATTTATGTTTTGTTTTTAATTTCCCAGACATACTTGGAAAGCATTGTACTGTTCTTCTTTTTAATATTTGTGAAAGATGTTTTGTGTGCATAGTTTCTTTGTTTCCAGGGTCTTTCAGTCACTCCTATGTATACTTTTTCTTCATTAACTGGTTATTTTACCGTGGCTTATTATGTTGATTATTATTGCCGTTTATGGGACATTCATTCTTTATTCTACAGTTGCACGTGTGTTTAATTTGTTCGTGTGGTTTGTTGATAGATTTCCTGTTGTGCTTTTTATTATTTGTGCCATGCACTCGATGCAACAGTAGCTGAATTTTACAGTGTTTTTTATTGAATATTTTGCGTAGAGTGCTTGATTCCGGGAAGTGCTTGTCTAAGAGTTTGAGGAATATTTTTTCTAAATTTTTTTTTGACGCTTTTGCTGTACAGTGCGTTGAACCATATGATATTTCTCTTACTGTTTGCCTTTATTGTGGTCTGTGCTGAGCATGTGAGTATATATATATATATATATATATATATATATATATATATATATATATATATATATATGCTCGTTCGCCGATTGAGGACAAACGGAATTTTAACAGCCACTGCTGCTTTAATGCATCGCTCTTCGTAACAACTGATCACTATAGCGGCCGGTATGGCGTTTATATATCTCATATATAATGCGTTAAAAATTCCTTTTCTCAGCCATGCACAGATAGCCTAGGGGTAAGAGTCTCTGACTGATGTGGTGTTTCGATTCCAGCTTGAAGCAATCTGATGACTATCCACACTGATGTGCTGTGATACAAAGAAAAAGTTTGTCTGTATATGACTATATATATATATATATATATATATATATATATATATATATATACAACATAAAGGAAAAACCATGCCTTTCGCCCCTATAAGCAACTTTATCAAGGTAAATATGTACAAATTTTATTTTGCAAATTGTATTTATAAACAAAAATAAAGTGTCGGGGAAAATATCGTTTCAGTTTTTTTTCATTTAAGAACTCCCTAAAATATCCTTAATGTGTAAGGAAATGTAAGCTATGGAAGACGCTAATTGATGCAATTTATTGCCTAATAAACGAAAGTGAGGAAAATGTTTTTGTTGTCGCTTTCTTTAATTGCTGTTGAATTTTTATTTATTTTCATATTTATTTGTTAATGTAATTATTATTTGTTATTTTATTGTATAAATAATTCTACACTTCGTCGATGCATTGCTGTGTCATCTCGTCTGGTGCTCCAACTATGTATCTCGAGATAGCTGATAAAATTCAAAGAAGTGTCTGCAATGTTATCAGTCTTGGCCTGGCATCTCGAAATCAGTCACTTACCCTTCACCGTGACGTGGCTTCCCTGTGTTTTTTTTTTCTATAAAGATTCCCATATTC